CTAATGCAAACCTGGGTTATACTTGATGCACCCCCAATGCACTAGGCAGCTGTTAAAAATCGAAAAAGACCTCTGCTCATCTATCTAGAGATAGATGAGTGTTTCTAAGTGAAAACTTGCATGTGAAAATTTATTTTCTTAGCCCCTGAAGAATTAATATTGATATTTGCATAAGGAGACGCAAACGCTAAGTTTCAAGTTCAAAATAATATTGGGACAAAACCATCATGTGCATTTAAAAAGGGTGTGTACTTAGAGTGGGTGAACTCGGGGTTAGGTCAGTGTCTGAAATATTAACCAGAGACATTACAAATTGTTTACTAATTTCTGGCCGGAATTAACTTTTTAATTTTTTCATTACAAAAATAGAAATTCGCCCGCATTATGGTAAAATTGGCCCAGAAACAATTTTCACTTAATGAGCGGCTATGATTTCATTAGTAAAATTATGGGCAATTCCGGCCTAATTTTTTGATCGTCGCCCTTAGCCAATCGATAATCTGCCGGTCCAATTTTGTTGCGGCAGCTATGGTTAATTATTAATATATTAAAAATGCGCTTGTTATTTTACTTTTCATTACGAAATTTTTTTGAATTTATATCATGGCTTAAATTAAAACCCGGTCAAACTAATTCCGGCCGAACTATTATTTGTACTGTAGCGTATCTCATAACCTTTACACCTATTTAAAATTTTTATGATTGCCCCTTAGATCAGAAAATCAAAAAATGTCTTGAGAACCAAGTACAGGTCTGAGAAGCCTCTTGACAATCCTGGTGAATTTAGACGGAAAGACTTAAGTCCACTTAATATTTATTATGTTGACGGAGCCATCGAAATGTTTGGAGATCGCCTAGTTTTTCATACGATACTAGTCTTCTCTTACGAAATGTGAACAAGGATCAGCTTTTTGATGCTTGGGCTGACGATTCCTTTACTGAAGGCTGGAATAATAAAGAAAGAGCACTAGCTAGATATATGCCAAATGTATTAATAAAAGAACTTGCAAGTGCAGGAAAACATGAGAGAGTTACCGACTCATTTGTAAACTTTCTTTTAGGGGTTTTAAAATTTAATGAATACCCGCTTTTCTTGGAGATTGTTATTTCGAAGTGGACACTAAAAAGGTAACATTGAAAACCGACTTTTCTATATGGAAGGGCAATCCATTTGTAATAGTTGATGAAGACAATCACTTGAATAACATTTCCAAAAATACTTGGTGGGGCGAATGTCAAATAGCTGGTGAATTATTGGCTTTAGCATTTGTAAACTACAATGTATTACAACGAAATACCGTGCTCAATCATTCTTTGCAATACGTGTAATTGGGACACGGTTTACATTTTACAGAGCAGAGATTGAATTTAATTATCTTAACAGTTTTCTGATAGATTCTAATAAAATGTACATATACAGGTATCCAGTGAATCAAGATACAGATCATTTTCTGTGCTTTGATTATGCAGATCTTGATCAAAAAAAAAAGATCCTAGATATTTTGATAAAGATAAAAAATTTTGTTATTCAAAATAAATTAATTTCATGATAATACCTATATAACAAAGTAGATTTATGATAACCAATAGCACATTGCAATAGAATTTAGCTTTTTTGATAGTTTTAATCAATCAATGCAAAATTCTTTATTATGTACGTGGATCAAGTCGACAATAAATACATATCTATTTGCTTTTGATACAAATGAAAACATATGTGAGCCACTTCTTGAGTAGGGATGTTACAGTCTGTTCCGGTCCGGCCTTGGTCCCAAAAACCGGTCCTACCAGAGGACCGCGAACTGGACCGGTCCATAAATCGGTCAATTAGCTGGTTTTCGAAAGTAAGCTATGTGGTTTTAACGATTACTACATATAAAAAGACCTTGCAGCTATCATCATAAATCCTGGGGCAATTGAAAAAAATTGCCAATGCCTAGTGATGCAGTAGAATCATCCCAATGATTTGTCGTAACTAGTTGCGATATAAGTCTTTTTGTTAGTTATGACTTGAGCCGTAACATCATTGGAACGATTCTACTGCAGCACTACAATGACTGAATCGACAAGTTACCGATCAAAAATCTATAAGTTGCTAAATTAGGCTGACATTGGAAACTTATAGATACGGTCATCGATATATATATATAGATATATATATTTAGCCAATAAGGTCATTCCATAGGCTGGTCCAGACCGGTTCTAAATTTAGGTCCGAAAACTGGTTGGACTGGTCCAAAAGACCGGTCCGGACCATAGTCCTTGTAGACCGTAATATCCCTATTCTTGAGTGCTCCTACTTTGCAACAAAATTAAATGTGGTCATATACACAAGAAAAAACACATGAAATGCCTCCATATACATTTATTCTTACACACTTATCTCAATTCCACCTGTGTAATTAAATATACATCTGATATTGTAAGATCCTTCCTTATAGTAGCCTGCGATATTGTCCTTATGATTCTCATGAATTTGGGCATGTTGTAGTGTTCTAAATCAAAAATCGATTAATCGATTAATCGATTAATTAATCGAATTGGCCATATCAGCTGAATTTTGTTTTGACCCCAAATCAGCCAATCATAATTGAGCATTTTCAAAAATTTTACGCTTAAAATTTTTATGAAGCAAATTTTTATAAAAATGGCCTTTTTAACAAACTTTGTACTTCTAATTAAACATGTAAAAAATTATGAGATTTA